TGTAGCCAATTTCAATACGCCTGATGACAATATTGGTGCGAGTAAAGACTCAGCTTTATTGAAAAAAACATATCCGGTAGTACAATCCAACAGTAACACCGATGAAAGGAGAGATGGTTTGTAGTTATGAAAAATTATAATTACTTATTTTTTAGCTAATTATCATATTATTTTATTACATTCAAATAATATGTTCGCGTTTGAAAAAAACAAAGTTAAGTTCCTTACAATAAATAAAAGATACACTTCAATTGTATTAAATAGTTAATAGTTCAAGAATAATACGTGACCTAATGATACTAAGTATAAAAAAAAATAAAAATATTCAAATTATTTTTATTGTGTAAATAAGTTCTGATAGAAAAATTATCCTATTTAATAGATTAATAATATTGAGTTTATAATAATCTGTATAAACGTTTACATGTTAGGTACGATTCATATGTACACTTGGGTCTAGATTTTCTAAAGGGTAAATATACATATTGATTATGTAAATGTAATATTTTAAAGTGGTAATATTTAAGTGTACCTAAAACTACACCACTCTTAAGCTATCTTATATATTCATACTTTATATTAATAATACATTACATAGATGAGCTTCAAGATTTTAATGCAGAGTCTATCAATTCAAGAAAACATTTCAAGAGTTTTCTAAAAAAAAGAAAAGTATCAGAAAAACACGATGGTGGGAGAAAACACAAGGTTTTACAGAAAAAAGAAGGTAAATCCGTAATTTAAAATTATACTTACAAAAAGTAAGCATATTACTATATTAAATTTACTTATACAATTCACACACTATCTAAAAAGCTTGATTTTCAACAACAAAACTTTATTCACACATATAATTACAGAAAACCCCTTAAAAAAGTCTATAGTTTATAACTATATTTCATTTTATAGACAAAATTCAAGATTTAACGTCAGAATTTATTCATTCAAGACAATGTATTTTAAAAAATGGTAGCGTACCAGTAAAACGCGACAATGGAAAAGAAACTATGGCTGCCATAATAACAGATTTGAAGGAGTCAATAAAACGCGAAATTTTAAATGACTCAAAATTAGAAATCATTATTCGAAGTAGATATTTATATTTTAAATTATTATTCTATAAAAATATATGAGTTAGTTTAAAAAATAAGGAAGTGTACTCCGACTACACAACTTATTTTTTTCTTAAAGTTTCCATAATTTTACCAAAATTTACTTTAATAGATCACATTGAAGATTTAATGTCCGAAATCGTTCAGGAAATTGTTCAGAAATATTTAATGGAATCTTCCGATTACTTGATAAAAAATATTGGTGGTCAAGAAAAACGCAAGACGGACGAAATAAATATAAACAAAACATTAACCGAGTTAAAGGATATACAGCAAAATAATGGTAACTCTATATTTTTAAATTTAATAGAAAAAAACAGCAAAAAAATGATATAAATTTAAATACAATATAAATATGTAAATTTTTTAGATTTTATTCCTTCTGCTCCACCACTTCCCCAAACTCTACCAACTCTACAAAAAACAGAAAATAATATTAAAAACAAAGGTAAGGTTGATAGACCAGCAGGTCTACCAAAAAATCTTATAGAGGAAATCAAACGCGGCGTGAAATTGAAGGTAAAATTTTTAATAATTAATAATTGAGTATAGTGCAAATTATATATTATAGCTTTATGTAAGCAAAACAATTTCCTCAATATATTAAATGTTAAAATGAGTATATTAATTATAACAGTTAGTATATGTGTTTGATTTTTTAATTTTATATAGCCGGTAAGTCCAATGGTTAAAGTATTAGAAAAATCAATTATAGATGACAAAAATCTTCGAAGAATGAACCCTTTTGATAGTACTTGTATATATACATAAAAAGTCACTGTTTATGTTATCTAAATATGAATATTTTCCAGATATCATTCCTTCACCATCTCCTCATACACTACTAATGCCACTAAAATCAGAAAACAATGTAAAAAGCAAAGGTAAGGTTTATAGACCAGCAGCTCTACCAAAAAATTTTATAGAGGAAATCAAACGCGGCGTGAAATTGAAGGTAAACCTTTTTAACAATTAATAATAGAGTATCGTTCAAGTTTTATATTATAGCTTAATGTAAGCAAAATAAATGTCTAAAATCGATATAGTATTTTAATGATTATAATTCAATTTTTTTTTTATCATACTTATGAAGTGGGTCATATATTAATGAATCGCATTTTCAATGCTTCATAAAAATTAAGATTTTTAATTACAAATCAAATACTTCAGATAAAATTTATAAAAAAATATAATTTTTTTTGTAATGAATTTTTTTACGTTTTTTAACTTTTTGTCATACTTATGAAGGGAATATGAAATGAATATTAATGAATCGCATTCTAAACAATTCATAATAATATGAAGTATTAATATACATATATTTTCAAATGAATTATGCATTTTATTTTAATATTGTATGTGTTCATTAGATTAATTTTTTGTCTCTAATATCCATTTATTTTCCGGGTATCTTTTAAGTGATCTGGTATTTATTTAATTGCTTAGTGGTGATTTCACAATCTGTTGCTTGACTCGAGTAGTCAAAATAAAATATTTAAAAATATATACAATCTTAGTATAATATTTTATAGCCGGTGAAGCCAGTAGTTTCAGTAATAGAAAATCCAAAAATAAACGAAAATGATTTTGAAAGAATGAACCCATTAGGTATTCCAATGTTTCGTCGGGCAAGTATGATGTCGAGCAGTTCTAGCTCCGATACGTCATCGGAATACTTTTCTCTAGATGAATGGGATAACTAAATAAAAATTAATCGAAAAGTAAAGCTTGAATAAACAATGGCAAGTGGTAATTAATAAGTCAACCGCTCCTGAGCATAGTTAGTGTGTAATCGAAGAGTGATCAAGATGAGCTGAGGTTACCGGTTTGTCTAAAACGAACAGACAACCGGATCATACCTTGACTTTGTACTTTCTATGTTTTTAAAACCAATTGCTAACAGTAATGTTGGAGGTTTTTGAGAGAAATTTTTTAATTAAAAACTTAATATTATTATCCAGGCTAATATTTTCGAATTATTTTTTTTTGTCTACAATGTATTATTTTGATTTGTTCTAGAAATAAAAATAGATAAAAATGTATGGTGTTGTTTAATTACGTTTTATTTTACTTTTACTTGAATTCTAATAAACTAATAAATTCAGGTAATAATATATTATTATTTTATATAAATTTTAAAATATTTATGTTTTCTATATTAAAAGAAATAAATATTGGCCTTAATCCGAAAAAGTTAATGATCAGTTAAATTAAAACTATAAAATAGAACATACTAAGATTCCTGATAGGGATATAGCTATGTTGAGAATTAAGGATATTTATTACTATTCCTACCATTTTTATTATATTATATTATAATATAATATAATGTAGCCCGAGCTATTGACGTCAAAATAAAAAAGGCAATCATGTTTTAACGCCCGTTTTCGATACTATAATTTTTACATTATTCATTTTGTCAACAATTTTACTTATTTTAAACAACGACTCGTCTATCACCAATTGTCAATAAGTCAACCAACTCTATCTCAATCTACACTAACCAACTGTATTAGGATTCAGCTCAGACGTTTTTTATATAACACATGACTTTACTTAATATTTAAAATATAAAACAATAATTTAACTTTATTATATACCCTGTTCAGCAACTATGGAAAAGACTTTCCATTATTCTCATTATTAGTAGCAATTGACCTGTTTCTTTACTTTTTAAATACTCAGTATTATATCTCACTAGTAACTACGATAAACTATCGAATTCCTATCAGTGACAAGTATAATTATCAGACAGTGATTGACATCACTTATCATTCATAGAAAATGTTTATAGAATTGAAATATATGAGGATTGTGTTACTAAAGATGTAGGAAAAATAGAAGCTGGGATATAATTGCATGAAACTACAGAGAATAGTGAGAGCTGGTTTAAAGACCTTTACACTTAAAACAAAAAACTTTTTATAAATTACGATATTATGAAATAACTATGTTAAATGAAATGTTTTTATGATTTTTGAAGTATAATTACTTGAATGGGAGTTTTTATTTTTTTATGGATTTAATGTCTGAAGCCTAACAACTAATATGTTTATAAAAATACATTTTTATGTGTCAAATATGTTAAATAAAATAGTTAATCTCAATTAAAACAAACAATAAATAACATTAAAAAATAATATAAACTCAGCTGAATAGATAAAGTTGTTGATAATGATGGTGGACTGTATGAGATCTTGTGGTAATGGTGTCGAACATCTGAGTATGACGAGTCAGAGTGTAAATCCAGGTGCGTAATGGCAGATGAGGACAGACTATGGCAATGATGATATTTAGTTATGGTTAGGGCACAATCACTGGTGGCGTGACACGTAAACTTGAGCACAAGGGTACAACAACAAATAATAAAATCTATGGCGTACAACGGCCGAACAATTTACTATTCAAGCGAAGGCGCTTGCAACAGAAAAAAAGTGACACAAAAAACAATAGAGTGACTGACTTATGACAATGAACAATACACGGATGAAAACCGACACGNCAATGAACAATACACGGATAAAAACCGACACGGAGGTCATCGATTTGCCGTGATGGATGGGCAAGGGGGTGAGTAAATCAAGATGCTATTGATCAGACGAAATAATATAATCAATGATCTTTGTAACAACTGGTCAACTAGATCATTCTAACGGCGTTCTGTACCATACAAAGACAAAATAAAGTTCAATAAAAGTGTCAGAATTTCCGGAACNAATAATAGTGTCAGTATTTCCGGAACTCGTTCAAAATCTAAGTTGGACATTTAATTTTTTTGAAAAATCGTCATTTTGATTTCCCCTCTATGGACAGGTGAAGGGGCAGATTAAAAGAATATATATACCTAATTATAGATAAATACCTAACATATTTATTAAAAATAATTGTATTGATCCATACATTTTTAAAAAGTTATTAAAAGTTATTTATAAAAGTTGTTGTTTTGCGGGTTTACTTAGTGACATAATCAACACCACAATTACTTTTAAGAAAACTTTATTGATGAAAATTACATTATAATTGAGCACGAGTTACCTGGGCAGGGTGTAAACCGGTACTACTACTATGTTACAATCATAAGATTATCACTACTCAATATAAAACAATTATTATTAGTATTATAATAAGTTAAAAATATTAATAAGAGATTTTATATCAAAATCGTATATATTAGCTTCGATACGAAGCTGAAAAGGTATTAATTTTAATATTGTGATGGTGTCACGTTACCAATATCGTGAGAATTATTTTAATAAAATACAGACAGCTCATCCGCTGCCCGAGACTGATGAATTAACAAATAATATTTATTGCCAATTTAGCAATAGTTCTAATTATTATAAAAACCCAAAAGACCTGACCATCGTGGTCAGTCGACTCCAGTGCCTTGTGTCATTCATCAGTCTCAGTACTCGGTTGTCGCTGTCCGGCTTACTGCTTAAAGTAAAGTCTTTGCTTTTTCCTTTTTAACCTATCTACTCTCTTCCACAACATTTCAGTGTACTTGTGTCTTGCACTTCGTCTGCACCTTATAGTCGGCTACCCCGTTCTCTCTTTGAAGTACTTGTGTCTTGCACATCGTCTGCACCTCGTACTTCATTATCCTCTCCTAATAACAAAAGTACTTGTGTCTTGCACTGCGTCTGCACCTCATACCAAGGTGTTACTCTTATTCTCCCTTCCTATAACAACAGCCTTTCGACACCCACAGCTAACCCGGAGTGTCAGCCGAGCACGGTGACTGCTGTACGACAACACGCACGTGAATACCTAGACAGCAGGCACCACCTCCTCATATTCATCTTCGCATCACAATTACATATACATTTACATCGTTTGTTTCTTTTCTTTTATTGTGTTACGACAATATGATGTGTTTTTTTGTGTCTATAACTTTTTCTCAGCTCTCATCGAACCGATTTCTTTCAACGAAACGTCGAAAGATCACAAATCAAATATAGTTGAAGACTTTACCCTAAAAAATAGGAAAAATTTTCCTTGTTCACCGTTAGTAGGGGATATCTCCAAAAAAATTACAAATTTAAAAATAGCTAATTTTCGACATTTTTTGGCTATTTTGATGAAGTGTTCATACCGGCTTGGTACATAAATGTGATGAATCTACGCATAGTTCAATTAATGAATGATCAATTTTAAAATAGAGCAACAATGATGAGGTTGATTAGAATAAAGTCGGAGTTTTAACGCGTACAATTGCAACAACAGGCTTAGAACATGAGCATATTAAAATGTTTATATTTTTTTATGATTAATTTAATTTTAAATATTTAAGAGGAGAATATATTCATAATTTATTAAAAAGTCTAAATATTACCCTTGTATAGCATAATCTGAATTACCCGTCTACCTATTATAGGAAAATATTTTATAATAAATAGTCAACTATGGATCAAATTTAATATTATATTTAGATATTAATAAAATATAGAATATTTTATCAATTTTGGGAATTATTATATGTATGAATGTAAATTTCTTTTTAGTTTTAAATTTACGTTTAGTTTTTATTTAGTATTTAAATAGTGTAGAAAACACCTCTTTACAATTTCTTAAAATACATTTAGGGTATTAATTTAAGATATAGAAAAAGGAAGAAATTAGCTAAAAAATATGTCATTTTTTAATTGTTTTCATAGTACACAATTATGATAGAAATTGGCTTATAAAAAATTGATATTACTATTTTAAATTTCTATGATACAATAATAGTTTATTTTCTATGTAAATTTCAATCTAATAATTCATTATTTAATTATTTTGGTTTAGTACAATTTAAAGAGTCAATTATAGTGATTTTATTTCTATAAAATATATCATGACACCAAAAAAAGGCGTATTTAGAAGAGTCATAAAATTTGTTAGGAAGTTATGTGCCAGTCAAACTGAAAAAAATGTTGTAGCCAATTTCAAGACGCCTGATGACAATATTGCTGCGAGTGGAGACTCAGTTTTATTGAAAAAAACATATCCGGTAGTGCAATCCAAGAGTAACAACGATGAAAGGAAAAATGGTTTGTAGTTAAGAAAAATTATAATTACTTATTTTTCAGTTANAAAAATTATAATAACTTATTTTTCAGTTATTTATTATCATATTATTTTGCGGTCCAATACATTATTCTATAATGTGTTAAAATTTCAAATTCTTTCACTATTAAATCACAACCTTAACACATTTTATTAAATTTAAAAAATATGTTCGCTATTGAAAGAAACAAAGTTAAGACCCTTAAGAGGCTTACACACAAGGCGTTTAAAACGAGGCGTTTTGAACGCGAACACCGTTTATGTGTATACTGCAAGCGTTTTGACGCGTTTTTACAAAGAAAATTAGCCCGCCAAAAGTTACAGTATATTCATAACAGATTCGAAATTCCTCGTGGTAGCATTTGCTCTGATTATTTTTTTATTTTTTAAAGTATACAGTACTTATATAAATTGAAATGTATTAAGCTAATAAATGATCGTATTAATTTTAATGAATCCAAAATAATACGTGAAAATAGATTGAATGAACCCTCACGTGCCCGGAAATCGCCATATTTAATTGCCCCGTGTGAATGAAGCATGCGATTTGTATTGTTTAATTTTAGCGATCGGTCGCGTTCGAACGCATGTTTTTACTCATAGTGTGCATGATTCAATTTAAATGTGGGTGTTTTATATGAAACGATTAATCACCGCGTTTTTAAAAACGCGTACGATTAAACGCCTAGTGTGTAAGCCTCTTTACACTTCATAAAAGTTGTACTTCTGCAACGTGCTTTCCCGCTAGGATCCTAACAGTTGGCTAAGCTGTACCTCAACGGGGCAACGCTGGCCCTATATAATTTATATCCCACTAGAAGGGCGGNGCTGTACCTCAACGGGGCAATGCTGGCCCTATATAATTTATATCCCACTAGAAGGGCGGTTAGCGGTTTCGTGACCAATAAATATAGACTCTTAACTAACAACGATAACAAACATTTATTTCTATTTAATAGTATATTTAAATATAACCTGACTGGATCTCTAGAGATGTTGTGGTATCCAAGTTAGGTGAGCGACAGCGGCGAACGTACACAAATCCGATTGTAAATAAATAAATAATAATAGTTANAATAAATAAATAATTATAGTTAAATTAATAGTAGAAAATAATATTGTCGGAATTAAGTTGTAGTAATAAAAATATAATCTGCAATAAATAATGAGTTGCCGCGAGCGTGGTAAAATGTCGACTGCCTGTCGTTATATATTTCTTTAATGAAGAAGAATATCATCGGTTTTGTTTACACCCGCGCGTGCCGCATATCTGTAGTTGGTCATAGGGACGTTTGTGCTGATCAGGCACTAGTGTGGTATTGAAATGTTAATGTTGGTGAAGGACGAATAATGTGTACGTTACATTACAACATACTATTAAATAGAAATTAATGTTTGCTATCGCTGTTAGTTAAGAGTTTATATTTATTGGTCACGAAACCGCTAACCGCCCTTCTAGTGGGATATAAATTATATAGGGCCAGCGTTGCCCCGTTAAGGTACAGCTTAGCCAACTGTTAGGATCCTAGCGGGAAAGCACGTTGCAGTCTGGTGGAGGCGCCGGGTAATGTGTACGTTACACTTCAATTGTATTAAATAGTTAATAGTTCAAGAGTAATACATTACTAAGGATAAACAAAAGTAAAAATAATCAAATTATTTTTTTTATGTAAATAAGTTTTGATAACAAAATTATCCTGTTTAATAGATTAATAATATTTAGATTATAATAAACTGTATAAACGTTTACAAGTTAAGTACGATTTACCTGGGCCCAAAAGTGGATAAATTTACCTGTACCTAATACTACACCTGTGTAGATAATATATTTTTAGATTATATTAATATTTCATTGCATAGATGAGCTTCAAGATTTTAAGGTAGAGTCTATCAATTCGAGTAAATATTTTAAATGTTTTCTAAGAAAAGTTAAAGAATCAGAAAAACACGATGGTGGCAGAAAACAGAAGGATCTACAGAAAAAAAAAGGTAAATCCGTAATTTAAAATTATACTTAAAAAAATAAGCATATTACTTTGTGTAATTTACTTATACAATTCATACCCTATCTAAAAAACTTGATTTTCAACAGCAAAAAATTTTTCGCAAATATAACTACAGAACCACTTTCAAAAAGTCCATAGCTTATTACTATATCTTATTTTATAGATAACATTCAAGACTTAACGTCCGAATTTAACCATTCAAGACAATTTTTTTTTAAAAATAGTAGCGAACCATTAAAACGGGAGAATGGAAAAGAAACTATGGCTGATAAAATAACCGACTTAAGGGAGTCAATAAAAAGTGAAATTTTAAATGACCCACAATTGGAAATTATCATTCGAAGTATTTATTCATATTTTAAATTATTATTCCATAAAAATATATGATTTAGTTTAAAAAATAAGAAAGTATACTCCGACTACACAACTTATTATTTTTCTTAAAGTATCCATAATTTTACTAAAATTTTATTTAATAGATCAGATTGAAGATTTAATATCCGAAATCGTTCAAGAAATTGTTCAGAAATATTTAATGGAATCTTCTGATTACTTGATAAAAAATATTAGTGGTCAAGAAAAACGCAAGACGGACGAAATAAAAATAAACAAAACATTAACCGAGTTAAAGGACATACAGCAAAATAATGGTAACTCTATATATTTTAATTTAATAGAAAAAAACAACAAAAAAAAAAAAGATAGTACATTTATAAATTTAAGTATAATATGATATGTTAATATTCTAGATTTTATTCCTTCTGCTCCGCCACTTCCCCAAACTCTACCAACTCTACAAAAAGCAGAAAATAATATTAAAAACAAAGGTAAGGTTGATAGACTAGTAGGTCTACCAATAAATCTTATAGAGGAAATCAAACGTGGCGTGAAATTGAAGGTAAACCTTTTTAAAATATAAGAATAGAGTATCGTTTAAATTCTATATTATAGCTTAATGTAAGCAAAACGATTTCCTAAAAATTTAATTTTCTCAACATATTTGATGTTAAAATGAGTATTTTAATGATAACATTTAATTTTTTTTTAAGTTTTTAAATAAAGATATATAATATTAGTATAAGTATTTGATTTTTTAATTTAATATAGCCGGTAAATCCAGCGGTTAAAGTATTAGAAAAACCAAATATACATGACAAAAATCTTCAAGGAATGAACCCATTGGATAGTACTTGTATAAATACATAAAAAGTCACTGTTTATGTTAACTAAATATGAATATTTTCCAGATATCATTCCTTCACCACCTCCCCATACTCTACCAAAGCCATTAAAACCAGAAAATAATATTAAAAACAAAGGTAAGGTTGATAGACTAGTAGGTCTACCAATAAATCTTATAGAGGAAATCAAACGTGGCGTGAAATTGAAGGTAAACCTTTTTAAAATATAAGAATAGAGTATCGTTTAAATTCTATATTATAGCTTAATGTAAGCAAAACGATTTCCTAAAAATTTAATTTCCTCAACATATTTGATGTTAAAATGAGTATTTTAATGATAACAGTTAATTTTTTTTTAAGTTTTTAAATAAAGATATATGATATTAGTATAAGTATTTGATTTTTTAATTTAATATAGCCGGTAAATCCAGCGGTTAAAGTATTAGAAAAACCAAATATACATGACAAAAATCTTCAAGGAATGAACCCATTGGATAGTACTTGTATAAATACATAAAAAGTCACTGTTTATGTTAACTAAATATGAATATTTTCCAGATATCATTCCTTCACCACCTCCTCATACTCTTCCAAAGCCATTAAAACCAGAAAATAATATTAAAAGCAAAGGTAAGGTTGATAGACCAGTAGGTCTACCAATAAATCTTATAGAGGAAATCAAACGCGGCGTGAAATTGAAGGTAAACCTTTTTAACAATTAATAATAGAGNTAAAGGTAAACCTTTCTAACAATTAATAATAGAGTATCGCTCAAATTCTATATTATAGCTTAATGTAAGCAAAATAAATATCTAAAATCGATATAGTATTTTAATGATTAAAGTTCAATTTTTTTTTATCGTACTTATTAAGTAGATCATATATTAATGAATCGCATTTTGAACGCTTCATAAAACTTTTTGAACTACATATTAAATTAGATGAAATAATTTCACCTATTTTAATTATACTTCAAATAAAATATATATTTTTTTGTAATGAATTTTTTTACGTTTTTTAACTTTTTGTCATTCTTATGAAGTGAATATGAAATAAATATTAATGAATCGCGTTTTAAACACTTTATNTGTGAAGTGAATATGAAATGAATATTAATGAATCGTGTTTTAAACACTTTATAATAACTATGAAGTATTAATATAAGTATATTTTCAAATTATCGATGCATTATATTTTAATATTGGATGTGTTCATTAAATTAATTTTTTTTCTTTAAAATCCATTTATTATAAGTATATATACATAAGTGATATGGTATTTTTTGAACCGCTTGGTGTTGATTTCACAATCTGTCAAAGTCAAAATAAAATATTAAAAAANCAGTTGATTGACTCGAGTAGTCAAAATAAAATATTAAAAAATATATACAATCTTAGTACAATATTGTTTAATATTTTATAGCCGGTGAAGCCAGTAGTTGCAGTAATAGAAAATCCAAAAATAGACGAAAATGATTTTAAAAAAATGAACCCATTAGGTATTGCAATATTTCGTCGTCCAAGTATGATGTCGAGCAGTTCTAGATCCGATACATCATCGGAATACTTTTCTCTAGATGAATGGGATTAACTAATTAAAAATTAATCGAAAATAAAAACTTGAATAAATAATGTCAAGTTGTAATTTATAAGTCAACCGCTCTGGAGCATAGTAAGAGTGTAATCGAAGAGTGATCAAGATGAGCTGAGGATACCGGTTTGTCTAAAACGAACAGACAACCAGATACAAACGGACCATCTCATGACTTTGTACTTACTATGTTTTCAAAACCTGAACCATTAACCAATTGCTAACAGCGATGTTGGAGGTTTTTAATAGAAAATTTTAATTAAAAATTTAATAATATTGTCCATGCTAATATTTTCGAATTATTTTTTTTTTGTATACAATGTATTATTAAGATTTTTTCTTGTAATAAAAATAGATAAAAATGTCTGGTGTTGTTTAATTGCGTTTTATTTTACTTTTACTTGAATTCTAATAATCTGGTAAATTCAGGTAATAATATATTACTATTTTATATTGTTATAAAACGTGTATAATATAAGTGGTAAGAACAGTAGTAATAAATGTTCTTACACTAGGTACTGTAATACCATCTTTTTCCTTTTCTTTTACTTGTTTGTCAATTTGCCCCGTTGTGCATAAGGCAATCGACACAGTTTTTGGTAAATTGGTTGACTAGTACTTGGTGTATTAATCTCGTGGTAAACTACGTCTGTGCAGGTTATTTTATTCTCATTTTAGTGAAACATGTTGCATAAATTCAGAGTAACTTCTCGCTCTTTTCTTGTCATATGATCAACGTACAATGATTCTCTTAACAATTGTAACCTGTCTGACGAGTTGAAAGTTTATGTTTAATATTCTTGACTGAAAAAATAATGGTCTCGTTAATAACTTCAAATGATATATCTTCTAGTTTTGGTATCATAAATGTCCTTGGATAGTCTGCAATATTGATTACGCTTATGAATATTTGTTGGTTTGTGACCTTATTTAAAACATTTCCGCAATTGATATTTTCACCCAAAGCTTGCGCATGAATTAATAATTGCTGAGCTTCCAATTGATGATTATTGACCTTGACTGGAATTATTTGTTCACTGCGTACTAATAGTACAATCTTGGTTTTCTCTCGTATCAATACTTAATTTTTTCCGATATTAATCACAACTCGATTGTCCATTAAGAATGTTATACCGACACAGTTATTTGTATCAAACTTTATTGTCAACTGAGTAGAACTGATTGTTCGGACTAACTGGTACTAATACCTTGCAGTTGATGCTGTTTATCAGTGTTAACGATCAATTCGTCATGTAGAGAGTAAATTTTTATTAGATTGTGGTCCGCTTCAGTATACACAAGTAATAGTATTGTAAGAACATTTATTACTATGTTCTTACCACTTATATTATACACGTTTTATTTCTATTTATTTCATTCGTAGTACATATTAATTAGCATAGATGGAGATGCTGATGTGACAATTCTACTCGTCTGTAGCCCCGAGCTACTGACGTCGTACTAACAAAGGGCAGTTGTGTTTGAGCGGCCGTTATAGACATAATTTTCAATACTATTACTTTCGTCTTATTTATATTATTTGTCACTTAACTTGTTTTATTCAACGACCCGTCTATCGTCAATTGTCATCGTAGCCAACCAACTCNGCCAATTATCATCGTAGCCAACCAACTCCGTTTCACATGAATATACCTACTAACCAACTGTACTAGGATTCAGGTCAGACGTATTGTACTTTACATATAACTTATATTTACTGAACATCANTTGTACTTTACATATAACTTATATTTAATGAACATGAAAAATATAACTTTACTTTGTCGTTGACATAAAACAATAGTCTAATTTTATTTAATAATCTATACCCTGTAACTAAGGTACACGATTGCCTGTATCTCCTTCAGGTAATTAAAACTCATTTAAGGAGATAGGGTCAATATTTGGGCAGACGTCGGGTAGCTTCCGATTCTTGGTTTTGACTAAGATCCTCAACTATTAAACAAGCCCCTAACACTAGTAATGGTTTATGGAATGTGCCGCTGTTAATCATACCAAAGAAGGAAGATAGTTCTGGATTACGTAAATACTGAGTAGTAGTCAATTTTCGAAAACTAAACAGCATTACAGTAGACGATGCTTTCCTGACGCCTAATGACATGAAATTTCAGATCAGCAAGGAAAAGCTAAATATTTTACTTGTATTGATCTAGCCAGTATTTGTTTACCACCAAATTCCTCTACGTCTCAAGGACAGGGAAAAACCCGGGTTAAGTACTGAACAAGGCTATATCGAGTACCAAAGGATGTGTTTTGGTTTAAAAGGGGGACCAGCTACATTTCAACGCCTAATGAACAGAGTTCTAACCGGGATAAACGAAGTAAAAGCGTTTGTTTATTTAGGCGATATTATTATAGTAGGGACATTATTGGAAAATCACCAGAAACAACTAAGAGATGTTTTTACACGACTTCAATCATTTAATCTAAAACTACAGCCATTAAAATATGAATTTTTACGAAAAGAAGTCGCTTATTTGGGTCACATTATAACGGATAATGGTGTTTAAACTGATCCTACGACTACAGAGTGCGTAGTAAATTTTCGAATACCAACTAACATGAAGGAAGTAAAGTCATTATTAGGTTTAGATGGATAATATAGAAAATTTATTCAAAACTTCAGTGAAATCACCAAACCCTTGACAAATATTTTGAAAAACGATAGTGACTTTATTTGAAGTGGTCCTTGTACAAAAGCATTTAATCAAATAAAGAAATTATTATCTCAAAAACTTATACTGCAATATCCGGATTTTTCACATCAATTACGTAACAACAGGCGCCAGCAACGCTATAGGAGCCATACTATCGCAAGGGAAAATTGGGTCTGATTTACCGATATCATATTTTCCTCTCACATTATACAAGGTAAAACGAACTACAGCACAACAGAGAAAGAACTTTTAGCTATAGTATGGGCAATAAAACAATTTCGACCTTATCTTTTCCAAAAGAAATTTACAGTAATAACAGTCCAGAAATCGCTTGCATGGTTATTTAATGTGAAAGACCCAGGAGCAAGCCTTATAAGATAGCGATTACAAATAGATTATACGATTATGACATCATTTATAAACCAGGTACAATGAACACTAATGCTGATACGTTGAGTCGTATAGCAAAAATTTAATCAAATTCGACAACAGAATACTATCTATCGTCTAAGTATCATATTTTTTGTCAAGAGATACAAAATAAGATTATAGTTAACCCATATGTTACAGAAATGAAAGGAGTATTGGTTGATTCTGCAGAATATTTGCATTATTCAACTGTGTATCAGCATATTTTAAAATGTCTCAAGGAGTCTCATTAGAATTTTGACGAAATTTTGGACAAATAGAGGAACTGATCAGTCAAGGAAAGCAAGTTACAGAAAACAAGTTTTTGTTTTGCAAGAAATCAAAATTATCGCTTTTTTTTTACATTTAAATCTTTTTTACTATTTATATTATTTATATTATTTAGTTAGATTTATTTTTATTAATCTTTGTACGATACATAATTAATATCTTTAAGTAACTTACTATTTGCTTTTGAGAAGACGAGATAACTTATACCACTCGTCGCATTGAATCAAATTCTGATAATTACGCAATTAGTCACAATACATTCCAATCACAAAAACTACAAGAAGTAATATATACGTACATTAAAAAAACTCTGAGGTTTTTATGTCCAATGATACTATTCTATACGCCAAGATTTGTTAACATTTATTGTTAAATATAAGCATAATATATCTTAAATATTAAGCTTTATTGTATTTGTTGTGTGGTATGTGTTAATTTAATTAAACGTTCTTTATTAAAAACAAAATTTGAGAAATTTATAAATCGGTAATGTTCTATTTAAAGCCATGTGCAATAATAGCTATTAAAATACTGACAACTATATATTATTTAATTATTCTTAATTGTTTATTTTCTAATGCGAGTATACATTTTTTTACAGATTATTAACATAAATAATAATCTTTAAATGATTGTAATAGGTGCTTGTGAAATAATGTCAACAGAGATGAAAATATTGGTAAAGCCTTTAGATAATCTCCATTATCCATACAAATTTTTGCTTCACAAAATAAACTTACAGTTTTCTGAAATTATAAAAATTTTAAATTATATGTTTTTTTATTAAAAAAAAAAAAAACAAAAATTGTAAACATACAGTCAACAAAATTTTTAATTTAAAATAAAAAAAAACAATTTGTTTATTGGAAAAAAAGTGGTTTATTTTCTTAAATATAATTTTATTTAAGTACTTAAAAATGAAGTAATAAAATATGAATAATCAGCAATAAAAATTGTCCTCTAATTTCTGTCAATATTTTATTGGTATTTTTAGTCTAGCGTTTGTTGAACTTCAAAATAAAATATATATACCTGTAGAACTTTTAAATATTCAAATAAATTGGATTGAAAACAAATATTACATATGGCAGTACAATCCATAGATTCCGAAAAAAAGTGATTGCATTTTTACAATTTGAGCATTTAATTTTGAGTTATCTGCTCATTTCCATTTCATTATTCAATGGCCAATCTTGAAAACTCGCTATACAATGGCATTCAAACTAATACCTATACAAGGTGTTCAATAAGTTCGGAAATGCCGATTATTTAGAGCCGCTATTGATTTTTTTAATAATTTTTTTTTAAAGGATAATTGAATAATTAAATGCACCTTTACGATTAAAATTAAAGTTCAACCTTAATACAAAAGGCTAGAAATCTACCCTAACTTAAAAAATTTTAATGGGAACCATTGCTATTTATTAAATATTCGGTTAGGTAATTTTATTTAAAACAAAAATACTTTTAAAATTTTAAAATTGGATCAGTAATTTTTGAGATTTTGTTGTTTAAAAGCACATTTTGCTACATTTTACTAATCAATGTGTAATTCCGTATAGACACTATCATAAATTGCTTGGTTTATCTTAATGATCGTATTTAAGCATGGAACGATCAATAAATATTGTTAAATTGATATTGTACCTTATCCATGAAATTATTAAATATCAATAAAAATATGATTACAATTGCATTTTTTTCACGTTTACAAGTGAAAGTAGATTGCTGTTAAAAAACATGTGTGTTATCAAATTAAATATTTTAGTCAATTATAACCAATTGTATGTTGTTATCCGTAAAAATGATTTTAACTAGTGATGGGAAGTATCGAATAGTAAACATCGAACTATTCGATAGTTGTCCACTATTCGAACAATTCAATAGTCATTCAAAAACTATTCAAATAATAAAAATATTGGATAGTTACATAATATATTCGAATAGTTTTTAAAATATTTAATAGTTTATGCTAAAAATAAAATATTC